TCAGAGAATCTGGTCAAAAGAGTAGATTTTATATATGATAGTTGCTATTTTATTTTTAAAAAAATAAAGATAATGATAGAGGAAATACAATTTCTATTTTCATAGGAAATGTTCCTATAACTTAGTTTTTTTTATTATTATGTTAGTTACTTCTTAGAGTTGTAGTAGTAGTTTGAAGTTATTTTTTTATTGTTGATCAATATTCATTACTAACAACACTAATATTATGATTAAGGATTTATTTTTATTAAACTACCCCAACCATAGCTGTTACCTTGACGTGGTGGTCGGGCTTATCTTTCGTGATGACCAAACCGAGCTATATTGACTGGAACATATGTTTCTGAAGGTTCTACCATGCCAGACAGGTCGACTGGGGAACGATAAGACTAAAAGCACCTACTCAAGGTCTGAGAGCGAAGTCGTATTGCTGACTGAAGAGGGGTGTGACAGTAGTAAGCTGTTTCCCTCGGACAACCAGCATCTGCAGTGATGCTGCATTCTCACAAGGAAGGAAGGGTTAGAAAAGGTCGACCCTAAAAATGTCACAGCTCACCTTATCTCACGGATTTCCGTCTCCGTCGGTAAGGGCTGTCCAATAAGGGCTTTAAAAAGGGCGGAGCTAATACTCTAAAAACCTCTCGTAAAAAAGCCGACCTCAAGCAGTTGTCCGTTGAGTTCTGCGGTTACGCTCCCAGGTCATCAAGACCAACGCTAATCTACCTTCCTTTTCAGATCCCTCAAGAAACACTCTTCCACGAAGTGAAATCCACCCTCATACCCGTACCAGCTGACTTGATTAAGCTACAATTTCAAAACTGTCTACTTTGACAGCAGTATTGAATGACTGAATCTAAGACAATTATTTTTAAAAATGCTTTTCACACCATATATTTGTAATGCTAGTATTATTATATGTAATTTTTAAGTGTACTATAAAGCTTTCTTTGCTATGTATATGTATTTTTTATTAGCTTATATTTTTACGAAACTATCGGGTTAGTTTGGCTGAACGTATCATACCAGCAACTGACTTATCTGAACAAGTTCCATGTGTTGGTACAGAATCATCAGGAACCGGGAATATGAAGTTTATGGTAAGTTCAAGATGGAAAACATCGGTTATAAAGTTTTAAAGATTCCCATTGTGAAAATTAAAACAACACATATAAAAGCGAACTATATTGTTTTCGATTATATCGTCATCAGACTTTACTCTAATATACATGGATATTTATATGAAAATGTTGAATCAATCAAGGCCTGTGATACTCTGCAGGACAGATTAATGAGAGCAATTAATAGAACATTCAATGCAGCCAAACGGGCGTTGCTTATTACGTATTGGTTTTGATGTTTTTTAATGATTATTTGAAGTTTATTCATCCACGTTTGACCTAGTATTGATAAAACTTTAGTTATCATATATTATAATTTTCTTACTACTATCAGTACACACCTGTCTTTCTACTATCCACTTGTACTTTTGCCCATAATATGCAGTGACGTAATCTTTTTTCATTTCATTGTGATTATCACTCAAATTGCCTTGATTGGTTTAACATTTTCATGCATAAATATTCATGTATATTAGAGTAAAGCAGCCTGATGACGATCTAATCGAAAACAATATTGTTCGCCTATATGTGTTGGTTATAAAGTTGTATGGTGTTTTTTATGTGGTTTTGAAAATTTTATTTTTTATGGTTAGTGATAGAACTCAAGGTGTGTATTCCACTGTAGCCCTTGCTTTCCGGATCCGCACCTTTACGTCTGCATCAGATCCACCTTGCTCATCAATGATGCTGCTCAGATATGTAAAAGTTTTATATCCTCCAAGGTATCTCCATCAGGTGTGATTTGGTTGGCTCATGTTGTGTTGTATCGGAAAATCTTTCTTTTCCATTTATGTTTGTTGAGAGCTGCTGCTACACTGGTCGTCTTCACTTGCATTTGTGATATGCACGTCAGTTGATATGCTTGAAACTGTTATGAGTTCGCCTTACTCGGTAACGTCACAAAGTTGACCCGTAGATGAAGTTCTTATGCAGTTATTCATGAAGTTGCTCATTTACTTTATATCTAACATCTCAATATTGTCCGTGTCCGTGCAGTGTAAACTTTAAATTCGATAGTACAAAACAGAATTAATATCAATTTCCGTGTATAATCAAATTAATTCATTGGCGTAATTCACATCGACTTTGTTATTTCAAATTATATAATGGCATTGAAATTATTTTCTGGGGTGGTTTCAGACTGAATAATCTTTGTAATCTAAAACTGATCACTATTATCAACCAACTTTAACATGAACTGCGTTCACTGTCCCACAAGAGGTCAAACCTTGAACCTTCGAAATTGGCGCTTGAATGCTTATCCTTTAAGTCGCCAACTATGTTCAATGATTTTGCTTCTAGTAGTAAGCGTCAAATCTAAACTTTAACATCATCATCAGTGTTCTCTTTTTCCCTTAACTAATTAGTGATTTATTTTCCATTTCAAATTATTATTTAGTTGAATGGTGCATTAACTATCGGAACAATGGATGGTTCAAATATTGAAATCTTCCAAGAAGTTGGTGAATCAAATGCATTTATATTTGGTCGTACAATTGAAGAAGTTAGTTATTTACGGAAAATAGGGTAAACACTAAATGACATTAACAAATTTTACCTGTTTTTTTTTTGTTGTTGAAAATAACCATTCCCCCCTTATCATTACATGATTATGTGTGTATATTAGTTGTATTGATTTATTATATGACTAGATTGATTAATGACTTATTGGATTTGATGGCTACTATTAAGGTGACAGTATTATTGATTGGACATACTCTTTTCAATACGATTCTTTAGTTTATTAATCCTTATAACTGAAGCTTCAGTCGTTTTAAGGACTCTTAGTTTTAGAAAGACTATTAACTGTTAAAAATTATATATATATATATATATATATATATATATATATATATATATATATATATATATATATATCCGAAGTAGTTTATTATTCACAGTTATATAAATTAGCCCTCTTTTGTCAAGTGTAATTTTACATTGGTTTTCAGGAGAACCAAGGGGGCTGCTCACGTGTTATCATTTCGACATGAACAGCTCGGCTCAATCCTGTGGTGCAACCACACAGGTACCTGACACCCAAATAGACCATTTACACCATTTATATACACCAGTACATATATAGTGATTATTTCCGATCCATCATCGCGTCAGTCAATATGTACCTCATGAACAGGCGAGTTCGACCTATCCGGCTTACATGACTGTCAAACTCATTATTATTAACAATGGTGATATGCATTATAGCACCCCGATGGCCCTCAAGAATGTTGCAAAACAACCACCAGTATCATTGAAATTGGTCACCCTGCTAACCCATTTTTTAAATGGACTGTTGGTAATACTTGCCAAAGCAATGCCAAGCCATCCACAATATTCACAACGAACCTCTGGTGTCACAGGATAGTATATGGTATACACATAATATGGCATAGGATAGCAAGCGATGCAGCCCAGCTTGATGCAAATGGGCTCAAACACTCTTATTACCCCTTGTCTCATATCGAGTAATGAATTTTTCGCCATACCGAAATTTTCATTTCTCAGTTAGGGGTAGTATCCCTATATCCAAAGTGATAGAAGTATCTATATTATCAGTGGTAGTAAAAAATGATTAGGAATGAAGACCATGGTTCAATATGATGTCATATAAAAGAAGACGAATAATTACGAAATAATATTGTAACTGTGGGTCTGGGGTTAGACAAATAGTAAATGCACCGACATCGCCGATTTCGAGCCATCATATTGAATGTTTTTAATCGTTGATCATGATTATAAGTCATAACTTCCCAACGAATATCATAAGTAGTAATTTCTAAGCCGCCTTATGTGTATCACCTAGTTTGGGATTCATACTATTTCCCAATCAGTAAAATTTGTAAGTTAACCTTAGACTGTAGAAGTATGAAAAAGCACATTTTTATTCGAAATTTTCAAATAAACTGATATTGATTATTTTCCATGTTCTGTAATTGTCTGTCTAACATGAAATGCATAGTGGGATTTACAAAGATTCTGGAATTTTCTGAGTTTAAATCCCGAAATGTCTAGCCTGAAGATATAACTCCTAAAGTTCTATTGATAAGTTATGTCTAGTGGAGTTTAATTCGTGTCGCGAGAGAGACAGTTATCTATCCCAAACAATGGATGAGAATTGCATGAGAATTGACTGAGTGTCACTATTAAGACTGTTGGATCTCAGGTCATTGGTCAGTAAGTTAAGCATTCGGGCATGAGACTGAATGTTATGTTTTCGATCCCGAAATGTGGAGTCTTGGATGCGTATTATTGAGGGATCTCATACTCAGAAGGAATAGTCGTCGAATGCTTCCTGGTTTTCAATGGTGCTTTAGTTCAAATCAGTTCGGGTTTTAAACTGTCATAACAGATGATCACTGTTTTATTATACTTGTTTACAAAAGCTTTTCCTATCTGAAAAGAGGATTGCAAGGTTCATTAATTGCATAACTCTGTGAAATACCTTATCTATGGAATGGTTAATCAACTCAAATCTATCATAATATTCATGCATAAAAGTGTAGGCTTATATCAATTGATGTGATAATATAACAGTGATGAAAACATGAACCAAATATTAAGTTTTCAGACCATTTACAAATCACATATACACACTATCTATGTGCGATGAAACAACTCTTCATTGAATGTTGTTGTTTCATTCGAAACGAAGATCTAACCCCTTAACCTCCAAATATTGTTATTTTGGATTTCGCATCATAATATAAGAGTGATTGCTTTTTTTTTATCAATTTTCACAAACATTTTTTTCAGATATAATCCAATGAAATATGTATCTAACAATCCAGAACTTCGTCTATGCTTAGATCAAATACGTGATGGTTATTTTTGTCCAAATGAACCAGATCTATTTAAAGATTTATATAATAAATTAGTAACAGAAGATAAATTTATGGTCTGTGCAGATTATGCTGATTATATGCGTGCACAAGCTGAAGTGGAATCAGCATACAAGGTAGGAAATCTGTTACTAGATAAGTTGGTGATGATAATTTTTCCTTAATTCCGAAGCTAATAATAATAATAATAATAATAATAGTCTTTCGTATTTTACTTCTTCATTTATTTAAAATTATCGAATTCAACCTTTCCCATAAATTTTATAATTTCTTAAACTGCGCATTTTGCTCCTTAACAAACTTTATATCTATAAATACAGTTTTCAACAGAATGGACTGTTTCAATATGCTGAATACCTGTTACAGCTCACGAGACCAAATCGTTCGCAATCAAATCTTTCTTACGCCCTTTAATATCTCTCTTATTTCCACGAATAACTCTTCTCACATTCCTTTATCAAATTGCACCGCTAATACAAACGAAGCGAGTTCACGAAACGTTATTCCTGGTCTCTTGAACACTCGTTCTAAATTACATCTTGGGGCTTTTAATGTACGGACATTGTGTCCAGTAAGGCAACAGGTTTCATTAGCAAGGACTTGAAAATCTCCGGCCAACGATATGTGCTGCGTCTCGGAAACGCGCATACAGGATCCTAGTAAAATCATTAGTCTGATTTCACCTTGTCAAAACAAAGAAGCAGCCCAATTTACTCTTCGTGTATCCGGTAGCCACGACGCTGCTTCCCGGGGTCTCGCCAGTGTAGGTATAGCACTGAGTCGTAGGGCGGAACTAACGCTCCTAGATTGGACTCCAGTAGATGGTCGCTTACGCGCTGTCCGACTGAACGAAACAGTAAGGACTCGGAAGGATAGGGACACCCGTGGTTACCTCTTCGTCGTATCTGCCTATGCCCCCACTGACTGCAGTTCAGACGAGGTGAAAGATGAGTTTTACAGAAAGCTTTCTGACCTCCTCCAACAAGTTAGGCACTCTGATATAGTTATAATGGCTGGAGACTTTAATGTTCAAGTAGGTAGACTAAGTGAGCAGGAAAGACACCTAGGAGGATGTTATGGTGTCGCGGCTCAGAGAACAGGCAATGGAGACTGACTTAAGTCCTTAATCGTTAGAGACCTTGAACGACATGATTCAAAATCGTACCTATATTTCTCTTTCTAACTTTATCTCACTGAATTATACCCTAATCTTCTCCATTACTGCTAATACTTCTGTTATCGCTATCACTCTTGGATTTGAACTGACAGTTGCGTCACTGTGCTGATATGCTATGGCAACCTGAGCAGATGTACTTACGTACGAAGTTCTGCGTTGTATCTGTCTGTCTGTCTATCTGTATATGCTCAATAAGATTTAAAACTTATGTGTGGTAATGAATTCAAAGTAGAGCATAGGAAAAAGTGTAACTGACATGTTTATGTATAAAAAATTAATCTCGTTCAATTCAAGCACTTCTAATGATAGATTTTTCATTGTTACACGTTGAAAAAATTAAAAAAAAACAACAGAACATTCATATCTAACTAAACATTTCTGAAATGATATGAAATCGCATTCAGATTATTATTTCCATGTTTATTGTTATTGTTCTTAGGATGAAGTAAGATGGTCTAAAATGGTTCTTATGAATATTGCTGCAGCTGGAAAATTCTCCTCTGATCGTACAGTACGTGAATATGCACGTGATATTTGGAGAGTAAAACCAATTAATATCAAAGAATCTATTAAGCCTAATTTAGCAAGCAATAACTGCTGTCAGGAATCCGATTTCAGTTGAATGGAAAATGGAAAAACGCCACAGACAAAAACAATCAACACATTTTATTCATGGTATCTTAAGCGTTTGATTTGTATGAAAAATCGATTTATTTTCTTTGTTTTATTGACAATATTTTTGTTTTAGTTTCAAGAATGTTTGTCATAAAAATTTACTTGTTTTTATAAATTATACTAATATGAAATGATCGATTATTTGTTTAAATCTTTGAAGTTGGTGTACACTTATTTTGGAATGTTTATTTCAAAAGTTTCATTTCGATTATATTTTAAACCCAAATCACTTACCTATACACATTTTGTTTACAAATATATATTGTAATGCTTAAATGAACCAGACATTATGCCGTACAATCTTTGTTTGTGTTTGTTTTTAAAAATGTTTACTGGATTATGAATAATTTTAAACAAAATGTCAATGATCAATATTTGTACATTAAGAAAAATTACCTAAATTTGGTTGTTTGTTTTTCTAATTGATCAATCTCATTGTCATATAAATGAATTAAATTGTTATTATAAAAATCTTCATAAAATGTAAAAAAATAGATGTTGATTTTATTTTCAACGAATTTTCTTAAAAAAAAAACAGCAGATTTATCGTAAATGATTATAAATGTTTGTTTTTTTTTGTAAACATTGTGTATTGCTAATCTTCTCTCATAAAATTTAAATCTATTTTAAGAGGGACTACTAATAATTCCATTTTCATTGTGTTTTTTTCAACTACTAACAAGCCACAATTCCGTTTTTATCAGTTGATATTGACAATATTTATTGGCTTTTGTTGTATACTACTTAATACTTTTTTTAGCGTATGTACAAAAAGCGCCGTGACAACGATTTGAATGTGATAGGTATATTGTATTGTAACTTCCTGTTATATAATATTATGATTATTATTATTATTATTATTAATGTTATTTTCTATTTGGTTGTTAATGATATTTTCATTCAAATTCAATGAATTGTTTGTTTTGTGTGTGTGTGTGTGTTTCGTAAAAAAGAAGGAAAGTAGTTTGTATATATAGTTGAAGAAACACCATGTCATGCAATAAATTCTACATATTCGCCTAAATAGTGTTATTCTTGATTTATTGAAAATAAAAAGTTATGTTTTTTTTAGGGGTTTAACCGTCCAGTTATATATACTCTTGAAAAATATATATTAGACTGGGAATTCATTATGGCAGAATTTTTAAAATGGATATTTCAAAGATTATTCCATAGTATATATTATGATATGCAAAAGATGTTTGTCTTCATATCCGATGTTCTCTTGACAAACCTTGGTATTTAGGTCTCTCATCAAAGTGGTCAAGTCGTTCGCTGTGTATTTCTCATCGATCGACTGTTAACTTTGGTTTAAGAATTCTCTTTATACTGTAGTGTGCCGATTTGCTGAGTGTCCTAAATCTCGTGATTAGCGCGTCTAGACAATCGTTACCAACTAGCGTCTAACGGTTTATAAATCAGAAGAAGGTGAACACAAAGTGTTGAATATGTTTATTTGTGACACACCACAAAGCGAATCGGAGAAACAGCAAATAAAACGAATGAAGCGACGTGAATTGGAGAAGGCTATTGAGCCAACTCCCAGGATTACAATGCGAACGAATGGGTGAAGGGAGCAAATGAACAGGAGATGCGCGTTGGAGAAGGCTAATGAGACAACTCAAAGAGATGGAGCTTGACTAAGAATATGTAGTCAGACAAACATAAGACACACATGCGACAAGCGAAATAGGCACACGTGAATAAAAGCGACGAATGGTCAAATGACAAGTGGGACATATCATGTGAGCTCATACAAACCAGACAATAATAAGAACGAATGGTACATATAAATTGTTGCAATACAAATTATGGCTTGGTTAAATAATTTAATCGAAAGGGCTTAACCAAATTAAATGTAAGCGAACTGGAATATATGTGGAGGCACTACAATACTTTTATATAGTTACGTTACTCACTATTGGGAGGGAGTTATCGAGTGGTCATTTTTTTAAATTCGTTCCAATCATTCACATCGTCAATACTTGGTATTAAATATTTTTAAAAGCAATCAAGTATAACTGAATTCATGTAATCGACAACAACAGTTTCCTAGAAATCTTATATTTACCACCCAGAACTTGAAACATTTGAAATCATTATACCCATTAAGTAAATTAGTGAAATGAAGCAACTCTACTTTGAGATACGATAAGATTTCGTTAGAAGAAAGAAAAATTTCAACTCTTTTTACAAAAGATAAAATCATGCTAAAAGATGGGAAGTTATCGATGTGCATTTATTAAAAAAGCACGTAAATGAGCTCAAAAATAACAGAAAGACGTTAATTCATTTTTTTATGAAAAAAAAATACTTTTCTACATTCTAGATTATATTTAAAGATTCTTAAAGTAAGCCAGATAATGTTAGACAGATTAATAAGATTAGTGATATATTTTCATGCTGCAACATAAATGCACTAATAGTTCATTCTTTTAATTCTAAGTCATAAATATATTTTTCAAACTAATGACTTTATCTAAGATAACTCGATATCACGTATTAAATGATTAGGATAATGGATAGCTCCTAGAATAGACAACTTAGCCATTCGAACGATGGCGAAACCACTCCAGCGAAGGTCACTAACCATTATTGCCTGGAAATAGTTCAAGTTTCGATACCGCTTTTTGTGTTCGAATGAAGACACTGTTTCATTCTTTGAGCTGAATGTTTCGGTTGTGAGGTTTTCATTGTCCAGCACAAATTTCAGATAGAAGTCTACCCGAATTTTTCTACGGATGATGTTGTTCAGAAGAACGACAAAATATACACAACTATAACATCCAGCTCAGAGAACGAAACTCGGCCATAACCATCTACTTGAGCGACAAAATTTCTCCATCCCTGAATCAAAATTGTATTTTTACTGTCAGTTAATATGGCAATTAACAGATTATATATATATATATATATACTTCGTGGCATCGAAGTACCGAAGTCATGTCACAAAAGTGGGGAGAAATTACAGACAAAGTGAAGCCAAAATGGCGGCATCACAAACTGAAAGTTTGCTCGTACTGAGAAGAGGTTCAGGAAAACAGTCACTGGTACAGTCGGTTATGATGATGAATATTTCTCGTAAACCAGTCGCGTTCTCTTCGTAAAAGTTTAATCACTTACAAGGATTATGGTGAAATAGTTGAGTTTGTCAATATCGTGATGTAGAGCTGGATTAGACTTTTGTAATGCTCTTTGTGGTGGTGTTTCGTTCTCTGAGCTGGTTGTTTTGGTTGTGAAGCTTTCATTGTTCTTCTGAACAACATCATCAGCACAAACTTCGGTGTCCAGTGCTTCGTTAGCCTCATTTTAATTCTGGCCACCGGCAGATGATGAACTGTAGCTGTATCAGCACTTCCTTTGGTTCTCAATTCCTCGATGGTCTTTCTAAACTTTTTACTGATGCAATGGTGGTCGATTTTGTTTTTTTTAGTGTAGTTCGGTGAAATCGATATGGAGATATTGTGGAACTTATGACAAGTTTGTTGAAGGCGCATGGGTTTACAGATCTCTCATCTTCTTCATTCCTTTCTCACAGTCCATGTCGTTTCATGATGTCTTCAAATCCAATGTTATGTTTACGAACCTCGGTATGTAGGTCTCCCATCAAAGTGGTCAAGTCCTTCGCAGTGTATTTCTCATCGATTGACTGCAACTTCTGGTAGAATTGATCTTAATCACCTTCACTGTTAGCAATGTGCGAACATTAAGTTTACCTATATTAATAGTTGCTCCGTTTGTCAGAATGGGAATCGGGCTCGTGACTTCCAAAGAAAATCAGCTTCCATCATGAAGCGTCATGATTTCCGTAAATGGAGACCTACAAGCTTACAAGGAAGAGCTAAAACTATTTGAAATAATTTTCTGGTTAGCGTTTTTTAGCAAGTTGATTTGTAGGAGATAAGTTCACTTATCCCATACCCAACCCTCCTCTAGGATTGGGACCTGCCATAACTCTGGAACAAATCGTTTCAAAATGTCACTATTATTTGTCTATCTGGTTGCATTTCATGCTTTCACTAGCTTCTGAAACGCCTCATATAGATTACTTATTGAACAAAGACCGACAGCTTATAATGATAGCAGATCTAACCGAATGCATATCGTAATCATTTAGTTTGGTTAGCTGACTGTTTGTTGCTTGAAACCCAGAATAATCAAATAGATAAGCATTTAAATATTTTAAAAACCCTGCTCACTGTTTTCGGATGGTTCCGAGGTTGATCACTGACCCTTGACTACAGAAACCTTTTATTTTATTTTCCCTAACCATTAGCATAACAGATTCATTTATGCTGTTTAGTTAGTCTTGTGTATAGGCTATGTTTTATTCACCCTATGGGGTTTAAAACAATCTCCCATAAAACTTTGAAGAAGGTAATATTCTGAGTGTTACGATTCCTTACTCGGAACATTCTGAGACCTTGTGCAACTAAACTCAACTATACTTTGAATCATGGTTTTTGCCCTCTAATTATTCGACAGTGACACTAAAGAATGTGACAGATATTCAGGCGTGAACAGCGCTTTTGCCCGCAAAACTTTTCAACATCTCAACCAACGTTCACATATACTTTTGATCCACCTAATTTCTCGCTTGTGGTTTTATTTGGCTTCAGGTATTTTCGGTCTGAAGAGTTAGCTCAACCTGCTAGTTGATGCGAGATGCGCTGCACCGCCTACTCGGTGGTGATCATGTGTGGTTAGGTGACCGACTGCCTTCAACCAGTATGTGTAAAGTGAAACTCTTGTGGTTGGCATCAAAATCGAAGGATTATAAAACTATATATTTTGGGTATGAATTTGCCACTACACACCAATAGCATTTCTGTCCTTAGTCAAGGGTTTGCCGGAAGCCGCTGTGATCTGCAGGAAGAAGTGGGTAGATATGTAAGAAGTTTTTCATTGTATTGAGAATACTCAGAACTTTATAAAACTCTGTACATAACCAGTGATAAGCTGAAATGTAGCGTTATTTTCATGTAGTCGCTAAATGAATAGCACTCACTACTGGGAACAAACTTTTGTGACTGTTATATCATGCTGTCTTCAACAGAAGTTGAAGACAAAACTCA